GAATAGTTAAACAACCTGGCATTACACTGAATATACCCATGAGACTCTTGAGAATAGACTCTGTCCATCCCTGTCCCTTCTATAACATTAGAGTCTCAGCATCTTCCTCACTAACTCCCTACGTTTGTGTTAGTGTTAACTCCCTACGTCTGGTGACATAGATCATGGACTGGCTTCTTAGAATTTTTCCTATTTAGTTTAGAAAGGAGAGTCATGTTTATTACATGAGTGGTTGTATATAGAGAACCAGTAAGCCCAGGCTGACTTCTAAGTCTGCCTCAGATTTCCTTCCACTAGATGACCAATTACTAAAACCTTACTTCAAACTTTTATTTAAAAAAACATGGGATTGGACTTCAAAATAAACAAATAGTTGTTGTGTGTTGGTGTATCTGATCTTGGTATTTGTAGTAATGTTTGACTTGGATTGATTTTTGTGGAGCACTTACAAAATATATTTACATGTAGAATTTTTGAAATCTCAAAAATTTGTCTTACTTATTAGCATATTGTTAGTTTGACTTATAAGCTAATTTTTAGAGTATATAAATAAATACTGGTTGGCTCTCAATAAACTCCAGTGGCTTTTTGTTTAAGAATATAAAAACATTAGTATTTCTGAATATACTAAAAAGTTGATGGTCTGAAAATCTAATCTGAAATGCTCCAAAATCCAAAACTTTTTTGATGTCACAAATGAAAATTGCAAACCTGCACTCATGTGACAGGTGGCAGATAAAAGAGCACTAACAGAATCATGTAAAGTTGCCTGAAGCAATGAGATGTGTAAAGCATATATGAAGTATTAATGAATTTTGTATGTAGGACTTTGGTTCCATGCCCAAAATATTTTATTTACATACAAATACTAAAAACAAAAACAAAAACTTACCAGAAACAAATCTGAAACACTTCTGTTGTCAAGTATTGAATAGAGCATGTTCAACCTGTAAGAGCTATCCATTTTCAAAGTTAGTAGGCTAGAAAGCCTTTTAGTTTATAAGAGTTTGAAATGTATAATTATTGAGTTACTTAAGTGGTTTTTTGTTTTGTTTTGTTTTTTGAGACAGAGTATCTCTGTGTAGCTTTGGAGCCTGTCCTGGAATTAGCTCTGTAGACCAGGCTGGCCTAGAGCTCACAGAGATCTGCCTGCCTCTGCCTCCCAAGTGCTGGCACTAAAGGCGTGCTCCACTAACGCCCAGTAGTAGGTTTTGTTTTTTAATTGGACAATAATCTTACTATTGCTCTTAAAATGTTAGAAAGTAAGCTATTTTTAAGTTGCAAAAGAACATATCTTTTCTTTCTGAAAAATGTTCCCAGCTATAAGCTTTGAATGTCTGGGAAACTAATTATGAAAATAGACAGAAAGATAAATATGTATAGGGAAATTGTGTCTTATAAATGCTATAGTATAAAAAATAACTAGTATAGAATTGTAAACTTTGAAACTCTGATTTTATTTGGCTTTTTTTGATAAATAGTATTTTGTAATTTCAGTATTTATGCCAACAAGCAGAATGTATTTCAAGACACTGATCTTGTAAATTTTTGATTTCTTGAAATATTAGCCATATTTACATGTATTTTCAATATATAGTATGTGGTGTCATTTTGCTATGCAAATTTTTGGGAGTATACCTTTTTTACTATGCTAATTTGGGGGAGTTTCATTACTGACATCGGCAAATTATTTGGTAGGTAGATTCTGAAAATGTTATTGCAGCCATTCATTTTATTAATTTATTTATCACTTTGTTTAATTCGAAAAGCAGCTACTTTCTTTTCTTCCTACTATTTCGAAAGGAGAAATTGTTAGTTGCAATTTACTAAGTCATGCTTCTTTCTCTTGAATTTATACCATAACTCCTTCATTATTTAACAGCATTCTTTCTCTGTAAAGTAGCCGCTTACTAATGCCTTGGGTCTTAACACTGCTGCCTTAGGCTAGGGTTTTGTTTTGTTTTTGGCATACAATTATTTATACTGTTAAAGTTTCTCTTGATTCCTCTTCGGGAAACAAGGACATTTCCTTTTCTTTAACATATATCTATCTTCAAATGAATGGATTACAGTTCTGATACTTTATGTTCTCATTAACTATGTGGTCATTATTAAACAGGCATGGTTTTTCTTATTTATAAATGCATGTAAAATGCATGTTACTCTTGTGTTGGCTGTTTCTTGTTTTATAATAATAGCTGTTTTGTTTAGTGTAGATACATTTCTGTTTTGCTTTAAAAGTGGGGAGGTACTTACAGAACTCTGAATTTGCAGCTCTTTCAGTATCACCTGCTCAGTTTCAGATTGACCCTTGACATCATGGGCTTTTAGCCATTGCTTGGAGAATCAGAAAAATGGTAAATTTGATAATACACTCCCAAAGTTAAGACCTTAGCATGTGTTCTGTAGATTTCTAGCTAAGACGTTAAATTATGAAGTATTTCCATACTCTTGAGGGATAGATGTTTCTTGAGGCTTTGATGTTTCTACTATCGCTTTCTAATCTGAAACTGAAATGTGTTGACTAATTTCATTGTATATGGGTTTTATGTAAATAGTCAAGCCCTAGGGAGCTTTCTGTTGCCTGCTCTTTAACTCACTAATCACATCTCCAGGCTTGTTAAGAATAGGTAAGTTACCTAGACATATTTGGGATGCATTTTGGTTTTTCATCATCTTGGAATTTGGATAATAGTATTGAATTAGCATTTTTGTCTTTTTGAATTTTGGTACCACTAATTCTATACTTATTGTCAAGTATATGTGATATGTTTGTCAGTATTCTGTATTACTCACTGGATGTTCCATTTTATAATTTTATCCTCATACTTTTATTTATGTACTTTATAAATTTTCTGGGTTGGAGAGGTTCATGAGAAAAGCTCCCATTTCCTCTATCTTTATAAAGACATGCCATTAAACCATCATGTTTTTCATAGGTTTGAATGGAATGGAATTAATTCCTATCTAGCAGGCACTTAATACACTTAAAGAGTTTAAATTTTTGACACATTTTTATCTCTTTATTTCCATTTTTTATTTTGTATTTTCCAGTTTATCTTTATAATTTAATCAGTTTAATCTTTATTTTGAGCTTCTTATTTAGTAGTATCTTCTATATTTGTAGTATTTTATCTCTTCATTAAGTATTTCTTGGTCAGTTATTTAGATTCCTTGCTTTAAATGTAATTCATTTTCTTCTCTTAGAATTTATAGCAGTATATAAGTATGATGCTTGTTCCAAACATGCTCAGAGATTTTGGTACTAAAGTGTATGTTGGAACTTCTCATCCTAGAGCTAAGTGGATTCTATTTATGACTAGCTGTCTAAACCTTCATTCAGGAGCATTAAACTTCTCATAATGTGTGTATCGATTGCAGTTACATCAATGTGTGAAGAATCACTAGTAAAATTCTTGATATACTGTGATAAAACCAGTGATTATTGAGACTTTTTATGCCCATTTTCATGCATAGGAAAGTTATATCTTGACTAGCCATATTTCTGGAAGAGAGTTAGAATTCTATCATAGTATTATTACTTGCTGGTTTAGAATTACAGTTTCTTTGCATCATATTGTGTATTTTAGGTTTCACTTTTAATATTTCTTTAAGCTTGTACCAAATGTTTTTGTTGACCCAAAAAAGTCCCCCACTTGTCAGGAGAAAATCAATATAGCATTAAAAACTAGTTAAGATTGGTTAGTTATTAGTGTATACGCACAGTGGTTCTACACTCATATTCTTAGTCTTATTCTTGAATAGTTATTATGGAAGATGTGGGTATTTTGAAAAAGTTTTGTGTACAGTTAAGGTTTTGAAGTTTCTACTATAAAGCTTTATGTCACTTATTAACAAAAGCCATTTCCAGGTGACTTTATTTTGTCATTTGCCTGGTATTCTTTATGCTTTTAGACTGTTAAGGCATGAGTAGACTGTAGCAATCACAGAATTTTTCAGGTAAGGCCACTGAAATGACCATTTATATTTTTCTCAAAAGACATTAATCTATTATATTGAATACAGATACAGAGAGGGGTTGATCTAGATAAAATAATGTATGGTTGGGTGCACAAATTAGATTCAGTGATTTACTGTTTCAGTGAACAAAGTTGCTCTGTTTTAATGGATTGAAAATGTTATATGAGCTGGTGAAATGACTCAGTGGGTAAACATGCTTGTAACCAAGTCTCCTCACCTGAGTGCAGTCCCTGGAGCCCACATGGTGGGAGGAAAGAGCAACTCCATAAACTGTCCCCTGGGGTCTAACTCATGCCTTGCCAAGTGGATGGCTATAGTTTTTTTTTTTTTTTTTTTAACCTGTGCATATGTGCATATACACAAATAAAATGTCAAACAACTAAAAGATGTAAATACTTTTGGAGACTGCAAAATTGAGTATAAGCAAGTGTTCTGTTCATGGTGGTTTGTTTAGCAGTCATCTAAAATTTCCTAATTACAAACTTCAAAGTCACTGGTTTAAAATAGGGAGTGAAAAGCTTTCCTTCTTAATTCACACCAACCTGTTACTAAAGTCCCCATCGCTTTAGGAATGTTGAATAAAATGTGTTCAGCATTTTCTTACATTGTTGTATTTTATCTGATTCCTAGGTAATCACCGACTGTTTAAAATGTTATACAGCTATAAATCAAACTTACAGCTTTAAACAGCTATCAGTCAAAATTAGTTTCAGATTTTTTTGTGTGTGAAAGCTTTTGTAACTATCCTTTATGTAGGGAAAATACAACATTGTAATATGTGTTGTGAAGTAAATGTCCACTAGTAAAGGTGATTTATATGCATCTAAACTTAGAAAATAATCTAGAACTTTTTCTATAAACTGTTAATTATTATGAGATTACATTTCATGAATGATTTTGATAATTTCCAAGGGTTATTTTATGTATTTTGTCTATTTTTAATTGAGAAGTTTATAAGTAAATTTAAAATATAATTAAGAAATAATAAATTTTGTCTTTTATTTCCTTTTCTTTTTTAGGGTATGAGTATTATAGAACAATTAGATCCTGTATCTTTTAGTAATTATTTGAAGAAATATCATAATACTATATGTGGAAGACACCCCATTGGGGTATTATTAAATGTGAGTATCCTTAAGAAGCCTTGACATCTGATTGCTATCCTATTTCAAAATACCTAAACTGTTACCATTTCAGTACATTTGTAACATCATTGGCTCTGTGCATTTTTTTCTAGTAACAGCATTATAGGTTTTTATTATTTGTTTATTTGTGTAAATTCATCACAGGAATACAGATCAATAATTTCTGTTAAGAGTTATTTTGAAGACTGTCATGTCTTCTCTTGACTCAGTCAATGCTGATATGCTTGCTTTCCTTTTTCAGAAGATTGAGTTTCAGGTTTGTGTGTCTGCAATCATGTGGGTGCATATACACATGACTGTTCTATACACTGTGAGAAATTAAATGGATGCTCTTCATGATCTAACAGTGCAAAATAGGTTGTGTGTGTATTTTTCTCCTAAACAATAGTGGTAAAACTTAACTTTGTTTACAAAGTGTCAGGAGAAGCCAGGCATAATGGCACATGCCTTTAATTTCCAGCATTGGGGAAGCAGAGGAGGCAGATGGATCTCTGTAAGTTTGAGGCCAGCCTGGTATAGGTAGTGAGTTCCAGAACAGCCAAGCTACATAGTTGAGATGCTGTCTCAAAATAAACAAACAAAACAACAGGGGGGGAAAAAAAAGAATTCCAAGAAAAAAGTTTTGGTTTAGTTTGATTTTAGAAAGATAAATATGAATTCTCTTAAAGAAAATGTAACACTCTTTAAGGAAAATGAGAAAATGTCTTCTTAGGAACATGCGGTAAGCTCATTTAATTTGTTTGGAAAGGTATAGAAGAGGAGGAGCCAGCAGGTGAAACAAGAAGTTTGAAGGAACTGTTCTTTTAGGAAGCTTTTTTATCTTGTTGAAGTTGTTCATATTGATTGAAGAAAAAGTCTGTCAAGGACCTAAATTAATTTCTGGAACTTAGGTTAGTATATACCACACTAGTTTTTTAGAGTCTGCATTTACTCAAGAGTTAGTTTGGTTTTTTGTATGAAAGAAATTATAAACCAGTACATAGTTAAAGTAAAAATTATACCATACTTTTATATCTGTGAGTTAAATAGACATTTCAGACTCAGTCTAAGTCAGATGAATAAAAGCCTTTATTATGTTAAGACGGGTGGCCAAGATATAGAGAAAAGCATACATCAATTATTTAGAAGCTAGGTTGGGACATATTATTTGTGAGAATGAGATAACGAGGTTTTTCTCAATTTAGTATGAGGCAGCAGACATTCAAGAAAGGGTCATATAAGTTGGTTGTCAAATGTGCAAAGTCAAGCTCCCAACATTTGCAGTGTTGATTTTTTATATGATGTGTGTCATAATCAACCTTTTCTTTTATTAGGCTATCACAGAGCTCCAGAAGAATGGAATGAACATGAGTTTTTCCTTCTTGAATTATGCCCAGTCAAGCCAGTGTAGAAGCTGGCAAGACAGTTCAGTGAGTTATGCAGCTGGAGCACTCACGGTCCACTGAAGCTCCGACCCTCAGGGACGCCACCTGCACAGACTCACACTCTGTACTCTGTCCGGGGTTCAGCCTAGCCTTTACCAAGATGTTGGTTCTGGTGTGGGGGGATTCTGAAACCTCAGACTAATAGAACTCTCTTATCTTCTTTTCTAGTAGGTGTAGTCCTCCTTAATTTCAACTCATTTAAAAAATGCTTTATAGGGGCAGTGAAAGGAAGGCTGGAATCAGAATATTTTGATTAAAAAAGAAAAGATGACAATGTAAAGGCCCAATTGGCATACAGTTTTTGAAAATGACTTGTAAAGCATTTAGCATATCTGAAATTTGCACTCTTTGCAGACTCATGCACATATATTCCGCTTTCAGAATAGTTTTGCAGAATGTACACAGACAAAAAAGGGTGGAAGCTTTTTAATAAAAGAAATTGCATTTATAAATGACCTGTATTAGAATATAAGAAATCTCCAGTTATAGGCAATTACTACCCATGTTGTACAACAGATACCTTCTATTTTAGTTGCTAATAAAGGGCTACACAACTCAAAATAGTCTGATTTAAACTTATTGCTTTGTGGTATAAATGGAAATTTGTTTTTTTTTTTATTAATTCCTTTTCAGATTTTTTGTTGAAATAGCAAGCCTCAGCTCCTATGTAAGAACATTAGAATATATTTTTACATTTATGTGATTTTTTTTAAATCACAGAAATTATAGTCATATAATTTTAAAGTTAACTTTCAAAATTAAAGTCATTTCCTTTTTGTGTCTGACATACCCTCATGTCATGATTATATTGTAGTAGAATATAAATTCAAGATGCTTTAAAAACAAGTAGATTTAGTTCTTTACTTCAGATACTGTGTTTGATAGTCTGCAAATGTAGAAACATTGAGGAGTGTTACTAGTGTCTTTCAAGTCATTGCAGACTATACACCACCATGGTTTTTTTTTTTTTTTTACTGCTTTAAGCAATTTGATTCTTTTACTTGAATTTTTAGGAAAAAAAAAAATCATTGACAATAACAGTAACAAGGCCTACTGGATTGTGGTAGTCCTGCAAAATTTGTTTTTGTTTTTATGGGTGGGGGCATGATTTTTGGTGCGGCTCTTCCAACTAAAATAATGGTATGGTGTTGTATTCTTTTATCATAGATTTATTCTAGTCATTTTGGCAAAAAAAAAAAAAAGTGTAATTCATTAAGCCATCATGCATGTTCTCCATTATATACCTGTTTTAACATAACGCTGGGTGTCTATATCACATCGGACAGTGTTTATATCTTCAGTGTTATACCCAAGTAGCACAATTTTTAGATGCCTTGCACCAATTTTCTTTGGAGATTTGCATTTCTTATTTAATAAATGCCAATTTTATATACTCAAGAATGAGAGAAAATACTACCTTTTAGATTCTAAATTACCTACTTATACATGTAGGGATTATACTCTTATACATCAATGATTTATTTTCCATTATTTAGATATGCTTTTGAGTACTATAAATATCCTTTATTTAATACAGATTATAAATATTTCTGAATTGACAATAGTGAATTTTTGAAGTATGTTTTCTGAGTATAAAATTTGAAAATACTGAAAAGTCAGAAGAAAAAAAATTATCTACAATCTCACTACCCAGAGATACACTGTTAAATGTTTTTCTGTATTTACTTTTAGTCTTTGTGTTGTTGATGAGTGTGTATGTGTTTGTGCGTGCACGATAACAGAATTGGGATTATAGTGCTCATACAGTTGCATTATGCCCTGTTACCCTAAGTATCTACTACCTATGTCTTTGAAAATGCAATTTAAAAATTGCTGCCTAATGTATTACACTATATGAAGATAATCAGTTCTCTCTTTTAATGTTAGGCAGTTTCTATTCTTCGACAATTTTATAATGGTATGGACATTCTATGTAAAATCTGAACTCTATATTAGACCCATTCTCTAGGATATAATCATGAAAATGAAATAAGTGGTTTACATGGTAAGAATTTCTTAGGCCCTTTAAAATATGCCAAATTATGTTTCTAATTGCACCAAATTAACAGTGCCCTTCATCAGCATCATTTCTTCTAATTTTTGACAAATTGTTAAACAAGTAATTGGTTGTTTGTTTGTTTTTTAATACTTTCTTTCTAACCATTTATTTTCTTTCTATAAAATGAGGATGGTTGTTGAGAAATAACATAAGAGAGATGTCTGTCTTAGAAGTGTTTTATACTGTACTTTTTTGTTTACTTATTTATTTGTTTTGAGACATGGTTTGCCTGTGTAGATCATACTGACCTGGAACTCTGTGTAGCCCAGGATGGCCTCAGACTCATGTATGAGCCTCTTTCCTCAGCCTCCAAAGTGCTGGGATTGTAGGAGTGTAGTACTGTGTCTACCTTGTTTAAAACTAGAATATTCCAACATCAGTTTGTCCTTTATTACCTGTTTTTGAGTAGAAACAGTTCTGAACTGATAATGTGTTCGGTTCTAGATCTTTCTCTTCCAGTAACTAATTAGTTACTGTTTTCCCTGTCCTGCTGAAACTTCCTTATCTGTGTAGTGTGCAGATGGCCTCTTAAGCACCTTCTCCTTTTAAGTGCTGGGTTTTGCGGCTTTAGTTTTTAATAGATTTTGGTGTAACATGTTAAATAGGTATATGATTGCTTTAGATATTTTTATTTCAATTCTACATAGGAAAATGAAAGTGAAAATCTTGTTATTTTAGAGAAAGCGGGATTTAATTGACCATTAATACAATGATAACATCTAAATTATTGAACTTAGCCTTCCTATTTTAAGTGCCTTTAAAAGTTTTGTACTTCAAATATAAAATGTGAAATTATCATGTAGTTCTGTAATATAGTTCCTTTGTTAAAAACTTATGAATTATTTTCAGCAACCTTTTATTTACCTTAGATCATACAGAAAAGTGTATTCGTGGAGTCCCCTTGTCAGTCCTTAAGAAATGTTACTCTAGAGATAAACTAATTGAGCAGGTAAGTAAGTACTCTGCCCTGGAAATTAACAGGCCAACATAAAGAATAAAGAATCAGTGAAAGTCCAGTGCTTACATTTGTGTATTCCAGTCTGGGTGTTATTTCCTGAGCGCTAGTTATTGGTTTGATTATAGCTGTCATAGTTTGCTTTGGAAGCATGTAGCTCATTTCCCTAGATTAGAGGTTGGCAAATGTTTTCTGTGAGGGACCAGATAATTATTTTTTACTTTATGTGTCACAGTGGTCTCTGATCTGCCATTGTAATACAAAAGCAGCCATAGACAACATATAACCAAACAAATGTATATATGTTTAATAAAAATTTAATTTATACTAAGATGGAATGCTGGAATTGGCCTGCAGATCATAATTTAGCATTTCTTATCCTATATGGTATAATTGGCTAATAATCTAGCAGTAGTCTGCAAGAGGTAGTAATATGTCTCTGCCATGTGAGCCTTCTTTTAATTTGATGAAGTGTCAGGGGCTGGATTTCTTATTGAGTGTTAACAAAGGTAAGTGAGAAGTAGGGAAAATTAGGAGCACCTTGAAATCCTTGTATTTACAGACGTACATTGGGTTTGTTTTGCTGCTGTCTGCCTTGCTGTGTAGCCAAGGCTGTCTGTCCCCAAATGTCCTTAGAGCTGGTATTACAGGTATGCATCCCTAGGCCTGTCACAAGTAAACTGTTTCACATGAGTATTCCAGTATATCAGACAGATACTTTAAAAATGTTGTTGACTTTTGCCATGTAAAGACTTGAAAAATTACCCTTTTCTATCACTCTTATTTTATTGAAACAGTGACCTCTAATAAATTCAGAATAAAGGAGAGAAATTTAATTCAAATAATTCTAGTTGAACTACTATTTCATCAAGGATCACAGAACACCTCGTCAGGTGGTACTGTCAGCCCTGCAGACCTAGGCATTTTCCAAATGTTGTTTATGGTTGCCAAAATAACTGAGGATACTTAATAAACCACATACATCCTCTTGTTTAGACTGGAAATTGTACATCATTGGATTAAATCTGACGAAACAGAAAGGCCTGTGTGGAACATGATGTAGTTGAAGGAATAGGTAGCATTTATTTTTGAAGAATAAGTTTAAGTTTAAGAATAGGTTCAAATATTTCTGTGACTGCCACTCAAGAGGACTAAAATTGTTCTGTATTGCTCTAAGTTAAACTTTTTTTTTTTTTCCTTTAATTCCAGCACATCAAATGAAGGGCAGAGGCAACTGGATCTCTGTAAATTAGGAGCCAGTTTGGTGTATGTAGCACATTCTTGGCTAGCAAGGACAACAATGTAGTAAAACCCTATCTCCAAAAGAAGAGAAGTAGGAAGCTTAAGTTTTGGACCACATTAAACGTGATGTGTGAACATTTATGATGATGATAATTGGCTCTGTTCTCATCACATCACTGGAAATATTCAAATAAAAACTAGATCAGTGATTCTCCAAGTAGCAGGGATTCCAACTGAAACTGTTTTGTGAATAATAGTGTGTATATTTTAAACATTAACTTTTAACAGATTGTGAATTATTAAAATGATGCTTAGAGCTTTTGGCTAATTCTTTAATGTAAAGATGTCAATACAGAGCAAATTCTACCAGTCCCTAATACACATTGAAGCTGTTGTTTTGTTTTTTAAATGGCTACTTTCTCAAACAGGCAGTTTGAAGAACAGCTATATCAATGTGAGGGTGGTGTACTGGACTGAGAGGCTGTTCTTTTTTTAGACTTAGCACTCTCAAAATATTAGGGGATCCAACAGCAGAAGGCAGATACATTTTTCTGTCATTTCCTATTCTGGCCAGCATATACCTGCAAATAGGATCACATTGCATGGCATATTGTCACTAGAGACCATCCTGTTTTATATATGGCCCCTTCAGTAATGCTGGTACCTGATACCTTGGCTTCCTTAAAATTGTTGTGGATAAATTCTGTTTGCCTGGCCTTATCTTCCTGAGTTCTTAGAACTATGTTAAGAGGTCAAATGTCTCCAATAGCATTTATTCAAGGGTTCACTGGTGATTTCAGACTGGTTTATATCTAGGGTCTATTGTGTTTCTATTTCCCTTTCCTTCCTGTGTGTGTGGTGGTGACTGTTTTAAATTTCAACACAAAGTTTTGACTATGAGCCTATAAAATAATGAGAAAATTAAAACAAGTTCTTCTACTTTTGAAAGCCATAGATAATATAGTACAATTAAGGTTTTTTGTTGTTGTTGTTATTGCTAAGTTATATTCAAGTATACCTTTCTTAATGCAAAGTTAATTTTGTGTTTGATATGATCATGTATATTATCCCTGTTATCACAAATAATGAAACCAAAGAACACATAAATGCCATTACTAAAAAGCAGTTGAAGCCCAACTATATTCAACCGTATAAACAGGCATGAGTGCTGATCTTTGAATCTACCAACATAAAATTCTGGAAAATATTCAAAATTTGCTGACTAATATTCTGAATTCCTCAGTGTGATGTTATATATTTAAGTAAAACTAAAATACGGTGAAAACAAAGTAGAATATATTGACT